AGGTATGTGACAGTGTCTCCTGAGCGTCCGCCTTGACATTTCTTTAGGAACTAATGACTCAGCACTTCTTGCACTTACCGACAAGGGACGTATGGGTCTATTCCGGGCCAGTGGTAAAGGCAGTGAAGGCTGCGGGCTAGCAGGAGCCCGTGAGAATGACTAAAGTTGCAAATGGAAGAAAGGAGGTGCAGAGAAAGCAGGAGCAAGGAAAAAAGAGGCAACCGCGAATTTTAGGAAAAACTAAAGGCAAAACAGCATGGCCCCGTCAGAACGGATGGCGAAATGACTGGTACAGGTCATAGCATCCTGGCTGTGGAAAAACCACACATCTGTCAGACACTGTGGTGGCCGGAGGAGGGGACACTCGGGCAGCCAAGGTGGGCAGGGAGCCACAGGGCTGGGCATCCAAGGCTTCTGCCATGACCTGAGCTAGGGCGTGGGGGACAAGCAGGTTGGGCTGCAAGGAACGGCTGGAGCAGGGGAGTGACACTTCTCCACTGCACGAGTTTGGGGAGTTACCGAACCTTCTGCACCTGGGTTGGTTTCTGCACCTGTAAAATGGGGGGAATCAGCGTCAAGGTCCTCAGGGCCACACTCGAAACATTCGATCATGGGGGCAGCCCGTGGGAGAACTGGAGCGGGGTGTGGTGCCTGCAAGTTGGGTGGGTCAGCGCTGGGCTCCAAGGCCACCTCCGCTTGGTGCGCATGGCTCTTCTCCCACAGCCTAGGGTTTTTGTTCAGTGTTTACTGAGCAGCTACTAATATTTTTATTCCTTCTTGGCTTCTTTTTCTTTTTCCCTTTCTTCCTTTCTTTCCTGCTCTGTTGAGACAGGGTCTTGCTGTATAGTTCAGGCTGGCCTTGAACTCACTATGTAGCTCTGTTAGCCTTCAAACCCGTGGCGATCCTCCTGCATCAGCCACTGGGTGCCGGGGTCACAGGTGTGCGTTACCATGCCAGGCTTAATTTCTATTGTATGACTGTGAAAAACAACGCCCCAAGAGGTTCCAGAGCTCCTGGAGGCCAGCAGCCTGTAGGAAGCAGTGTGTGGCGGGGCGCCAGGGCAACTAGGATTGGGCAGAGAAAGGAAGAGCGTTGGTGAGGCCAGGTGTGAGGAGACAGGGATGGGACTGCTGCCTGGTAGGGTGGCAGGGAGTGCCGATGACAGCAAGCTCAGGGACGGCCCCTGACCCACTGAGGGCCCGATTGGGGCCAGAATCTCCAGCAGATGGAGGAAGAAGGGCTGGGGCAGGGGTAGGGGTAGGTGAGGCCTGGCCAGAAATGCCCTCTGCCAGGTCCCTGGACCCAAGGCCTGGAGCAGAACTCTCGCTGAGGAAGCCGCCTGCCTGGCGGGTGCCACACTGCCCACCCCAAGTACCCATCTATGCCCTGGGCACCCCACCTCTGCAACCACCAGATCGAAGGGTGGCATTGCCCCCTCCCTCGGGGGCTGAGCTGGGACATCCTCCCTGCTGTCACACTCCTGGTGGCCTCTTGAATCTGTAAGGAAAGGCCCTGTGGCCTCCAGGGAGGCCCAGCGAGTGCCAGAGTCCTGCAGCCACTGAGCTGCAGCCAGGCCGGGCACAGTGCCATCCCACCCAGGGCTCTTGCAGGGCTGTTAGCTCAGCTGGCAGAACACGATGGTGGCACTTCAGGACACTGGGCTGGAGAGGGTGGCAGGGTTCTTGGAACTGGCAGCAGGGAGATCTATATTAAGACTCTTTATCACATCAAATAAATAGAGACTGAAGCAGGGATCGGAAGGAATTTGGCAAAATGCTTTTACACATGACTTCTGAAAAATGGAGCAGGACTGCGGAGAACAGAATGCCATTTATTCGCTGAGCCCGAAGGTATTTGCTGAGACAATGACATCTCTGTCTGGCAGAAAGCACTAGAAAGAACAGTTTCTCTTTGAAGTCCAGGCGCTTGGGCCAGGTAACTCCCACCAGCTCTGCCTGGAAGGCGCCCGTCCTCCTCCTGGAGGTCAGGAGTCACCTGGGGCTGGGCCCATCCTTAGTCCCTACTGTGGCTTCTCCCCGGACACCCACCCTGATGCTTGCTCGGGTTACCTGTACTCTCAGGGTGCCCGCCTGAGCTGGGCAGGGGCCAGGGATGGGGCGCTGCTGGGGGCAGTTCCCAGGGACTGGCAGAGGCTCTCCGGGGACTGCAGGACAGCAGCGAGGGGTGCAGCACTGCAGAGAGGAGCGTGCAGCAGAAATCCCGAGGGGTGCTGCGCTCCCCAACTGCCACCGCAAGTGCAAGGAGGGCAGAGGCCACTGCTCCATTCCTCCGCTTTGGCCTGTAGATTGCAAATGAGTGTGTCAGGCAACTCCAAGAGCTGACCTGGCTGTCGTGGGTCCACAGACCACGCGCCTGCTTGTGGCACAGGTACTTAGGGACCTCTTGCCAACTGGGGACTGAATGCAGGGCCTTCGCACCAGTTACTCCCCCAGCCTCGGTTAAAGATTTGGGACACGGTTTTGCTAAATCTCCCAGATGGGCAAACTGTCACGACTTCTGAACACACCGGCGATCTTTTTCTTTGGAAGTGTGTATCTCCTATCTCTTCCACCTGATAGCTTCCTTCTTCCTCCTCAACAGCAACCTGATAAAGAGCCCTTAATTGCACTGAAGTTGTTTATCAGCTTTTACTTGTACTGGGGATTGAACGTAGTGCCTTTGCACTGAGGTACATCCCTAGCCTTAAAAAAAAAAAAAAGTGTGTGCGCGCGCACGTGTGTGTGTGTGTGTGTGTGTGTGTGTGTATTCCACCTGATAGCTTCCTTCTTCCTCCTCAACAGCAACCTGATAAAGAGCCCTTAATTGCACTGAAGTTGTTTATCAGCTTTTACTTGTACTGGGGATTGAACGTAGTGCCTTTGCACTGAGGTACATCCCTAGCCTTAAAAAAAAAAAAAAGTGTGTGCGCGCGCACGTGTGTGTGTGTGTGTGTGTGTGTGTGTGTATATGTGGTTACCCATCTTAATCTCATGTTGTTAATATTTTTTTTTTAAATGTCTATTTTTTGAGACCAGGTCCCAGCAAGTTGCTAAATCGCCCAGGCTGGGATCAAACTTGGATTCCTCCTGACTCAGCTTCCCAGACTGCTGAGATTACAGGTATGTGGCCATCATGCCTGACAATCTGTCAGCTTTTTATTCTTACCATTAGTGCTTTTTGTTTTCTACATAAACTATTTCAAAGGGCAGGAAATTATTATTTCCTTGCAGAAGCCGCATTATCTTACATTTAGGGCTGTGATCCATTTGGAATCGGGGATGGGGCCCCAACCGCAGGGATGACGTGGGGACGTCCCCTCACACATGCGAGGGAGCTGACCCAGGCTGTCGGCAGTACATCTGGGCCAGATCTACTTAGAAACACCTAAGACTGCCACAGGAGCAGTACCCAATTCGAAACGGCCCCAGGAAGGATGCGACAGCCCCTGGACCCGGTTACGCACAGCACAGGACCGCTGCCCCGTACTCAGCGGTCGCCCAGCTCTGGGGCTCCTGCTCCTCCTCACAGTGGCTTTGTGTCACTTTCTTCTGCAAATAAACTCACCGTGGTTTTTGTACCACACCCAACTCCTCTTCCCCTTTCTACAGCGGAGATGGCGGGGGCTGGGGACCACCCCACCCGGCCCTGCACTGAGGGCTGAGGTTCTCTCCCAGATGGGCAGCCACGATTGTTCTTCATGTTGCTGAAAATCTTTTTCTGGTTGACGGTGGATCTGACTTGACCGACCATTCTTCAGGGTTTTACAGCTGCCTGGAGGTGTTCAATTTCTCCACTTTTGTTAGTTTTTTCCTTTTCAAAGACATAGCAATGAGGCTGAGGCAGAGGCAGCGCAGGATGAATGAGAACGGACCTCACCTAGTATGGAGCAGGCGGCTTCTCTAACAGGCTGGTGGTGAGCAAGCCCAAGGCCCTGGGGCAAGTCCACCAAGGGAGGGGCGGACTCAGGAAAGCCCAGGGGAGCTGCCTCCCCCAGTCTCCAAAGTGACGGGGGAGACCTCAGGGCAATGACCTGATTCTTCCTGCTCTTTTCACTGGTCCAGGCTGGGCTGAGGAAGTGCTGCCCCGTCTAACAAGACCTTTACGCAAGACCCAGCTCTGCACTCTATCTACAGGCCCTGAATGCAACAAGGACCAGCTCGCCTTCATCAGGGGTCATGTATTTATTTTATATGCAAAACCACTGCATCTCCTGCTGAGCCCTTCTCAGCCCTTGAGGTCACATTATGGATCTGCTTGCTGTCTGTCCAACGGCCAGCCAGTTCCTGGGCCGCTGCAGACCCACAGCACACACTGGCTGGAGGCGCGACTTCCGTGGGGGCCTTGCCCACCCTTCTCACAAGCCCACAGGAGAGCGGCCACGTGTGTGTGCTTGCCTGTGAGTCCATGTTGGAGTGAAGAGGGACGAGACGACCCACATGCAGCTGTTTGTGCTGCAGCCCAAAGGCCTCGCCCACTCAGACCCGCCTGTGCCCGGCTCATCAGCCAGCGCCACTGACAGTGCAGCCACACATCAGTGGACCGCGCGTTACGCAGTGTCCACCACACACGTCAGCGGAGAAAGTAACCCAACAGTCGGAGGAACAGCCACCGCTTCCAGTTAAAGCTTTCCGTGAAGTAAATGCTACCAGGTAGGGTCTGAAAATCCTTCGAATGCACCTGAATGAGTAGACAGATTTTTAACTATCTTCAGCATCCTTACATGTATTCACAGGGAAACAATTTTTTTTTCCCGGTACCAGGGATCTAACTTTGGTCCTGGTGCTTGCAAGGAAGGTGGTGGAACCATCGAGCTAAATCACCGGCAAGGAAAACAATTTCTGAATTTAACCTGAGTAAATTTTCTACTGTCTGTGTAACTGTTCTTGCAAATTCGGATGGGGTGGTATGGCTTTTCCCCCAAATGAAGCCACTTAAATGCTGGCATGGCAAGAGGCCCTGAGTTTTCTAGGAGCTGCAGGAAAGGACGACAGCACAGCACTGGTCTTTTGGGTGCTCTTTATTGAGAGTAAGGCGGGGTCACACGGCTGGCGGGTAAGCACAGAGCACGCCGCACTTGCTGCCACAAACTGGCCCTGATGGACAGGAACACACGGTGCCCGACTGCTACGCACACGCAGACGAGGCTTTCGGGGCCACTGTGGGGAGTGTCTGGGAACAGGGAGTTTCTACGGTCAAGTCACAAAGAGGTCACAGCTCACGGGGACACAGGCAGAGGAAGGTGACCGACTCCTCACACACAGGACGCTGAGTGGCCGAAGGGACACAACACAGCGAACAGCATCTTGTGATCCTTCCTGCTTCAGAGACATGGAATGTGTTTCTGTATTTAGCATTGTCTTCAGGCCACTAAAAGATACCACATTTTTAGGCAGCTTCTAAAGCCACAGACGAGACGGCATGCATTTACATCGCACGGAGCTCAACACGATGACGAACGGGCGCCGCGGGGCTGCCGCTCGCACAAGTTTCACAGCTGGTGGTGAGATTAGGAAGGAAATGGAGTGACCGGCTCAACACGACACCCACGTGTGCCCAGCACCGCGTGGATCACAGAGGCCAGACACTGCCCCAAGAAGGGCGGGGCATCCTCAGAGCGAACCCCAAGTGGGATGGAGGATGAGTACACAGCCTGGAGTTTGCAGTTAGAAAGTCTAGGCAAACTGTACTAAGAATGTGTTCTCTAAGTGACTTTCAAGTCAAACTACGTCTCTGATGAAAAATGAAGGCTTTAAAAATCTAAAGGGGAAATAAAATGATGAAACAACAAAAAGCAGGTGGAATTTCACAGAGATCAAATCGTTTGGTCTACACCAGCTAATATTTTAACATTAACCACACATTATTAAACTTTGAAGTCCATTTTTAAAATGCAGAATCTCTGAGGGAAAGTATAGGCATGTTTTCAGGAATACTGAATCACGTAAAATAATTTAAAGGCCAGTAATACAAAAGACTTTTCAAACACAAAAAGGGAAGCAGGGGCACTTAGCGAGGTTAGGAGCTCTTCCGGCTCAAGGACAGTTCTGAGGCACTGACAGTACTTCCCGAAAGAAGCCACCCACGTCCGGGAGCCTCTGCAGGAGGGATGCGGTGACACACGCTGTATACGCCACGATGCGGCTATCACGAAGCGTTTACTCAGAGGGGAAATGACTCAACAGCAACACACGGAGGTTTCCGTTTGTGCCTGTGACACACGATGCCAGAGTCTTACGATGTCTGCTGTCACACTAGAGGACGCTGGCAACGTCTCAGTTCTGTGCACAGGCGGGTGACGCGGCGCTGAGGGTGATGACCCAGGCAGAGGAGGCTCCGGGTGCTCACTGTTCTCCCGACGAGAGGGCACTGTCACGGCAGACGGGGCAGGTGCTGTGCCCTTTAAGCCACTGCTTAATGCACTGAAAGAGAAGAAACCAAGTCAGCAGTGCCTGCAGGACCACGAGGGGCTTAGTTCCCCTGTACCACCGGACTCCTCGGCGGGCATGGTTAACGGCGCCTCCAACTCTGGGGAGGCCCGTGGCTGCCGATTCTCAGGGACGCTCATACCAGCAGTGTGGAAGGGATCCCAGGAGCACATAACCCTTCAGAATAAAGTCCATGAATATATGAGGCTTGCACCTGGCATCTGGGGTGGCCTTGCCCAGCCGCCGGCCTAGGAACAGTAGGTTGGCATCTGTGTGGCCCTGGGGCCTGACACTCAATTCTCAGCCCATGCTTCTACTGGTCTTGGTCCTGGGTTCTCAAATGTCCCATCAGCCCAGGGGCACCACAAGGCCCAGCGTGCAGGAGCAGGAGGGCGAGGGCCTAGCATGTGACACCACACTTGAAGGCGGTGACCAGGCAGATGGGACTGCAGGCTTTCTCAGTCCTTTCCAGGGACTTTCTCGGGGACCACAAGCCCACAGGCAGAGACCTGACGCGTCCTCACGCAGCAGCAACAGGGCGTAGGACCAACATGCACAGTGCCTGAAGCACCAGATGTGTAACACCCAATCTGGGAACTGCTCAGGGTCAGGCACGAGGAACCGACAAGGCTTACGCCTCAAAATGGTAAACCAACCCCTACACTACACTAAACTGACAAGTGTCTCCCCACCTATCCATTTAGTCATCTCAGAAGTCACTTTTCAAGGGACGAACACAGCTTTGACCCTCAGCGGTACAGCCAACAGAGAAAGGGCAGTCCAGCTATGAACTGTGCCTGGCTGGGCCCCTGCCCTCCCATGGTGCTGGCTCTGATGTGTGGGCGACAGGAAAGTGGACTCAAAACTTGAGGCCCCATGTAAGGGGAGCCAAAGAGAACGCTTACTCCTTTGTGAAACTTGTGCCCACATTTCAGCGCACACGTATTTTTGGATTTGAACACTTTGTGGCATATTTCACACGCGCTTGTGCCTGGTGCCTGTGGAGACAAAGAACAGTAAAGATTAACTTTCTCTTCATGACTCAGGAGGCGAATGGCCTCCAACATGTTTGCACAAAGGGTGATGAGTTATTTCCAACACGAATGAGCACTGAAGAAACCTGCATTTGCTTTCTGCTTTGACACAGGGTCTTGTTCTACAGCCCATGCTGGCCTCAAACTCATGATCCTCTTGCCTCAGCCTCCTCAGTAGGAGGAATACAGGTGTGCGCTTGGCTAAGAATTTTGTTTTAAAGTAGCATTTCTTAAGAAAAAACAAACAGAAAAGATTTTTAAGCTCAAATTTTTTCAGAGAAAAACTTTTATGGGTAACAGGTTCCATGTGAAACATTTGCAATTTCCATTACATTACCTATTATACTCTAAGTATAGTACTAGTTATAGAGTACAGATTAATCATGAATCTAATTATCTAACACCCACGGCATGGACTACAGATATCCGTAATCCTTGACACAGAAAGCTGGTCGAAAGGAACCAACGAATAAAGGCAGGTGACAAAACAGTATTTACCACAGAATTTAAAAAAAAACCAAAAAAACCAACAACAAAAGTATCCACAGAGATGCAGAGAAAAGAGGCAGATGAGAGGCAGAAACTGGTAAACTACTCTGCCTAAGGGTGTTTTAATTCTGCTCTCGACTGTCTGTGAACACAAGTCCAAACAAAATAAGCAGGGCTCACGGGCAAACACCCCGGGAGGGCTGTGGTTGGCTTCTGGTCCCCAGGTGACAGCAGACCCCAGGCCATGTAGGCCACCGTCAGAACTCCCCACGCTCACAGCACTGCTGCACTCCCAGAAGGTGGGATGCAGCTCCCAGCAGGGGAGTTCAGGGTTGAGCTGCACTGACTGGGCCTGGACAGAGACCGGGCAGGTGGAGCCGCTCTGCTGCTACCTGTGACTCAAGAAACAGGGAAGACACGGTGTGAGGCCCCTCCAAGTCCCCCGGCCATGCTCATAGCCAGGCTTAGCTGCAACAATGGGTGGAAAGATGGCATGGCGTATTTCTTTGCTGTTTTGGGGGAGACAGGGTCTTCCTCTGTAGCCCAGGCTGACCTCAAACACAGCAATCTTCCTGCCTCAGTCCCAAGTGTTATTACAGATAGGCAGCACTACGCCTGACTACAGTGTTATTTCTAAACAACAATTTAAAAATGGAAACATCCTCTTTCAGAGGACATAAAAAGAATGACTAAGTATTCAGTTCTAACTAACTTCACACATACATACAAAACAGTTAAAAACACACGCCGATGTGATGACACTGCTCAGCGTGTGGGTGTCCCCTCACACTATTTTACTGTACTGTGTCCAGATGGAGTCTACGTTGCTGACACTCTAGCCTTGGACTACACATCCTCCTGCTTCACTTAGTCTCCTGAGCAGCTGCAACACAGGCGTGTGCCACTGGGCCTGGTTTTCAGGTTTTTTTTTTTGTACCAGGGACTGAACTTCAGTCCTTGCACTTGCAAGGCAGACAGTGGTGCTTTAAAATTTTTTAAATGCCATTTTTATTTGTATTTTATGTTATAAGCACATATTTTTTTGTAATTTAAAAATAAAAAGCTGCTTTCACTTTTTAAGAAACTACATATGATTATCGGCTCCCATTCTGAATGTTTTTCTTCCTCATGTAATTTGGTGAAGTAAATAAGCTTGTACATCTTAGCATCAACATCTCCTGTGAAGCAGGACTCTGGGTGGCCAATTACAGACACAGACCCCAGGTCGCAGGACGCTGGGGACCCTGGAAAGCCTGGGGCAGGGATGCAGGGATGCGCTAGCAGGTGAAGGCAGGGGTGGGCCTCTGGGAGCTGAGTGCAGTGGTGCATAAAGTCCTGGGAGGGCAGGAGGGGAGCAGCTCACAGAGGACAGTGTCCTGCATGGCCCACGCCTGCTCCCGCCTGGGCCCTCGCGTGCACAGAGGGCTCCAGAATTCAACTGAGGGCCAGGCCGCAAGACCCCGACCACTCTGCAACTACAGGGCAGCTCCTAGGGGCTGCAGGGAGGCAGGGAAGGCGCTGTCACAGGCCAGCTCGGTCCTCCTGCCTTCCCTGGGCAGGCAAATGCAGCCAAGCTGCCTGGGCCACTCGGGCCTTGGTTTCCTCTTATCCTACAGAGACGGGGACAAGGCCCTCTCAGTTCAGGTCACAGGTAAAGAGCATCTCATAAAAGTTTTTAAAAGTTCTGTGTAATTGTAGACAACCCTAAAGTCTAAAAGGAAAACACACAACTTAAATCGCCAAGTGGAAATGTAGGGATATTTAGGCCACACAGTGTTCCTCCCAGGCTAGTCTAGGCCACTGCGATTCCAAAACCCTAAATTACAGAGAATAAAATCAGTCAAAAAGTGTTTTTCCCAGCTAGTCAAAATACAGCACTTGATACAAAAAATCAACACATGTGATCATGTGCTGAAAACAAGGGGTGAGCAGTTCTACCCCCCAGGTTCTCTTGGTCCTCTCCCTGTTGTTCAGAGGCCAGGGCTCAGACAGCAACAATGGGTTTCTAATTTTAGGATCAAATAAATTAGGTCTAGTAGGAAAGAAAAGAACGGAGTAAAATCACGCATTAAAAATTGTTGCTGGGTTGGGGATTTAGCTCAGTGGCACCACGTCTGCCTCACAAGCGCAAGGTCCTGAGTTCAATCCCTGGTACAAAAAAAGTTTCTCTCTTGTTCTTCATTAAAAAACAAAAAGCACTGTACAGTTAGTTACACATACACGGACATCTGGTGTCTTCCGTGCCTTGGTGGTCACTAGGGGTGGACTCCCAGAGGAGGTGCTCACAGAAGCAGCAGGGCTGGCGCTGGGTGTCCCTTTGTCCTTTCCTGGGTTTGGCTACAACAGAAGGGTGGGAAGGGGCACAGGAAGCAAGCAAAGCTGTTACTGAAGGCGGGACTGGCTTCTGTAAAGGCTAAATGAATAAAGGGGAAGCGGGACATTTCTGAAATACCTTTTTCTCTTTCTCTTCATCCAGAATGTACTCTGTAGCTCTCTGGACAATTTCAGCAATAGTCAGCCCTGCAAGCGAATTCTTGCTCTTGCTTCGAACTTTTTTAACAAAACCGGCAAGCTCCGCCCTGAAAGGGAAAGCAAGCAATACATACCAAAAAAATCAAATTCTCTACTGCTAAGAAACACGCTGTGCTAATATTAACCTAACAGCTCAATCTAAAAAACAAAAATACGAGGGAGTAATTTGTAGATCACAGGACAACAATAAAAACCATACATGAAAAGCAGAACTATCTTAACACAGATCATTCTAATTATGAATATTTCAGCATTATTTTAAAATAATGATTTCCACCAAATTCCAAAGTAACAGTATATCCGCTAAATCTACCCGGGATACTTATATCCTTACTTTAGGAAACTGAGTTTGGTGGTCTCTCGATACTTTATATGGCTTTACACAAAGACATTAAGTTACACCACTGGTTCTCAGAGAAGTCAGTAACATCTTCTCAAGAAGAAACTAGTTATATAGACTCCATCGCTTGAAAAAAATCTAACCAACAAAGTTCAAAGCATAACTATTTCATGAGTACCATTAAATGAGAATTATACCATTAGTCAACAGAACTTGATAATTATACTACTAATATTCCAAATATTTCAGCTTTCAGAAAATCAGGGCAGTTATTTGATTTTTAAATCTCTGCCAAATTTAATCAAGATTGCAAACAATTTTATTTGTAGGGTATTTCTGATAATTACAAGTTGGATATTTTTACAATGGGCGTAACAGCCCAAGATTTCCAATGTTTCTCAAACTCAGGCAGGACAAAATATGCCTTTGTGTAGACAAAATATACTTAACTCTAAATGGACAGGGCTCCCACTGAGAAATGCAAACCATTAATTCTGGCCAATCACATTTTGAATGATTACTCTGTCTCTAAATTTGAATTACAAAGTCTGTAATTAACACTGTCTCAGAAAAATAACAGGGCAGGTGCAGACTCCCATGTGGAGACCTCCCTTCCAAGTACCCCCACCCAGACGCTCACCTCTGCCCTCCTGCGGAAGGGCCTTGTAACAACTACCCAGGTGCACTCAGCTCTTCCTGGGCTCTCAGGGCCCTATTAGGGTGTCTACACCCTGGGTGCCACAGAGCCCAAGCTGGGTTTTTCATATTTCTAGCAAGGCGGGGTGGGGGGCACTGATCTACCAGGTACAACTTGCTGCTGCTTTCTTTGCTGTGATTTTCATCCAAAAATGTTACAAAACTATTACTTAACAATTTATTTACTGATTCCATAACAAGGAACATTAGAGAGTGTTAATGATTTTTGTCAACATCTTAGCAAACTGCCAGGGCTTCCAGGGAGTGTTACCCAGGGGTCAGTGTTTTCGATCTAGACGCACACATTCCGTAGGACGTTTCCTGTGTGCTGCATCAGTCACGTGTGACCCTCCGCCTCCATCCTTCAAATTCGTAGGTCTTGTCCAGTATGCGCAAGGCTCTGGGTTTCAGGCCCAGCCACACACCCAGAGCTCACCACTGTGTTTATAAAATGTGGCACCTGCCTTCTGAGCAGCCCTTTCCATGGCCACGTCCACGATCTTATGTGACCAGGAAACCTGAGTTCAGTGAAGACTTTAAGAGTGACGGCCACTGCACATCGTACCTGGTGTATTGCGGGAATGCCGCCGACAGGTTCTCCTGGATACTGTCAAGCAGCCTCTTTGGAGACTGGCGGGAACGGGGAGTGAGCTGCGGTGGAACAGGCTGTCCATCACCCGCTTTGGGGCTCGGAGCTGGCGGAGCAGCCTGGCCGGCTGTCTGGGGCTCTGGCAGTGGAGCCACTTCTGGCTGGCTGGACGGTGCTGGTGCAGCCGGGGCGTCTGCTGAGCAATCACCCTTGCCAACCGCCCCGGTCTTGCTGCTTGCAGAAGTCACAGGCGCCTGACTCTCAGGACCTGGACGCTCAGGGGCTAACTCAGGACGGACCTGTGAACAGCCACAAAGCCAGAGTTAAACCCCGCAGGGCTTGGTGGGAACGAAGCCCAGGGACCCTCAAGGACGGAGACGGAGGGTCACACATGACTGATGCAGCACACAGGAAATGTCCTGCAAAAAGCTGGTTTGTTTGAAAAGAATTACTAATCACACCTTGTTAGTTGTCAGAACAGGGCAGATTTGGCATTTCTAAATAACTGCCCAAGTTTCTCTGTAGAATGAGAAAAATTGCCTGAGAGAAAACATTTCCCCTGCCTACGGTTCCTGTCAGCCCCCACCTCACCGCGTGCCCCTTCCTGGCTGACAGTTGCTGACTGATGGACACTGGCCGCCGGTGCTCCCCAGAGTTGTCCTCAGTGCCTAACTCCTCACCCGCCCGCGTCTGGCTCTCACAGGCAGTGCGGCTTTCCTCCTTCCTCCCCAACACCTCTCCCGTCTGTCCTCCCGCTGCTGCACCCTCACCCACACAGCTAGGGGAGCAGGCCCACAGCTGGCCCCCGGTCCACCCCTTGTTGCCACTTCACCAATGTGGTGAGCTCTCAGCACAGTTCAGACCTGCTGTCCTCCCCTTAGCCAAAACCTTCGGGCTTCCCCATGAGGGGTCACCAAGATGTTTAACATGGCTTAGCAACCAAAACTCCCTGGTTCCTGGCCCCAGGATGGTTCTACAACCCTCCTAGTCAAAATGAACTTGTTTTAGAGCTGAGAACATAGTAAGGCCCTTCTTTTTTCTTTTGTTTTGTTTTTTGAGACAAAGTCTCACTCTGTAGTCGAGACTGACCTGCAACTCACTACGTAGCCCAGGCTGGTCTCGAACTCACAGTGATCCTCCTGCCTCAGCCTCCTACGTGCTGGGATCACAGCCATGCGCCACCACACCTGGCTTCCCTCTCTTCCTGTTTTTTTTCCCTGGGAAACTGTTCCCCACAGGCACCACAGCCTCCTTTCCTCCCCAACCCTCGCTCTCTCACCCCACGATCCTCCTCCAGGTCCCATTTCACTGAGCTTCCCACTAGGAAGCACACAGAGGCTGGGTGCTCTGGGCCTCCAGGCATCGGTGCTGTCACAGTGCCCTGCAGGGAAACCTGCACTGCCCTCCGCCTGAAGCTGGTTGTGGGCACTGCGTTTTCCCAACCCAGCCGGTGTCTAATCTCGATCGCCACTAAATACTCAGTGGAGAGATGAAGTGGGAACCAGACACGGAGTAAATGGCTTTCAGGGACACTTGCTGCCCAGGCTCCAGGCACACTGACAGGTCACAGGTTTTTGGATGTGAAAATTCTTTTGAATATTTATAAAATGACATAACTAAAATTACAAGAGTAAAATAATCTACTGAGATCCAGAGTTTTTTTCCCTATTCCTGCTGTAAGAATCTGTAAGAAGTGATCTTTAATTGTGAATAAAACCATGTTGCTTATTCAGTCAGATGGAGAGAAAGTCCAGATCTCAGAGAATCATTTTACTTAGTTCGAGGTGGCTGCACTTCTTCACCCGCAGGAGACTGAGGAGCAGGCTGGCCAGAGGGGCCTGAGTGTAATGGGCTCGGAGAAGGAAGGCCAGACAGGCTCGCAGAGCAGGGCAGAGGCCCAGAGAGGATGGCGCTCTGGGCGGTGCAGAGTCCAGGCCACACTGGGAAGAGCAGGAAGAAGTAACTGAGGTGCGGGGACAGCGCCGCCTCCGTCCTTAGGGACCAGAAGAGTGCAGTGGTGTAAAAAATAGGCTGAGACATCTCGAACTCTGTGATAATCTTTAAATGCTTTTAGTCTGATCTTATTTGGCCCTCATTCATCTCAGTTTAGTATTTATAGCAACCTGGTCTGGGTTCAAATCTTAGAAATATGTACCGCAGAATTCAACGGTCATGCTAGGTCAGCCACACTGTAAAGTCCACAAAATACAATTAATGGTATTCTTTGCAGTGTTGTGAATTTTAAAATAAAAAGACACGGGTTGGCAATCACAATTAAAGTGCAATAAAAAATGGTGTGCCAGATCAACAACGACCTACAGTGGTGTTCAATGTTATCTGGTGGGAAAACAGATCTTAATTTTAAGATTCTGGTCTAATGTCCCCAGGGATCTAGGAGAGCAGCGTCCCAGCTGGCGGTAACACAGAGGCCTGCTCGGTCACAGTGCCTGCTACGCCTGTATCTGTTCCAGGGCTGGGATTCCCCACCTCACTCATACACCAGTGGGCGAGGAGACAGAAACACGGAGTAGCAGTGGCTCCCCCAGTGCACAGTGTTACAGTGTTCAAAGCCCGAAAGGTTGGCAGGTAGCACAATGATGGCAACAATACGACCACTTTGAGTCCATTCCATCCCCCTCTTCAGTGAACAGTAATAAACCGCTCTGGCCAGTTAACAAGCTGTTTCATTATGTCGTCTTAGAGGACAAACAGCGATGGACTTACTACTTTACAGGCAGGAAACGAAAGCTCAGAAACCCGCACTTGAGGAAGTTCCCGGAGCCGAGATCCATTTTTAATTGCCCTAATTTGGTCTTCAAACTGAGACTGTGGGCAAAAGAGAAAATGTAAAGTTTTTCTAACATTTCATGGGAAAACTATCATTTTTCAGTTAATTGTTTTTCTTATTATTCATTATGAATGGTCAAGAGTTTTGTAAGGAACATTAACTAAGATGCAAGGCATGAAGACAACTATTTCCTATAAGGGAAAAGGGACAAAAATAAGACCTTATTAGTCAGGATATTCTAAAGCTTTATTATATCTCTGATCTTCGCATTCAGAGACAAGGCTTAAGATAACTCCCCCTTATTAAAGTGGTGATGGGGATCAAACCCAGGGCCTGGCAGTGCTAGGAGAGATTCCCCTCCAGGAAGCCACACCCCAGCAACCCCTTACTTAGGAGCACGTCATTAATTTCTTGAAAAATTCCTAATAATTTCAACAAAAACTATGACGTTAGTTTTGGAGAACTATCATAAAGATCCTGACAGAGTTATGACATTTTTTACAGCTTACCTCTGCTTTCGTAATTTCTTTTGCAACATTACAAATAAATGATTCCCATGAATGTACATCAGATTCCTTGTGGAGATATGCTGCAGAACCACTGAAAAGGCATAAAAATATGAAACTGCTTAACAGTAACTACAGAAATTTACTAATTAAAAGCATGTGAGTGTAACTGAACACTTAAACAGGAGTGAAAGATACATTTAACACACACACACACACACACACTCACATACTCACACTCCTACTGCACCACATCTTTATTCTACTTCCCTTCCCCTCCTCCTCACCCCACCTGCTCTCCCCTCACCCTGTCTCTCGCTGTCCTTTGATGAACAGGCAGAGGTTGTACAGCAACCCCAAGAAATAATCTCGGTAACACAAGGCTGGATAGAAGGAAGTGAAACCACTGCACTGAATGAGGTCTGAGGCATCCGTTTCCCAGGAAATGGCCAATGGCAAGTTCGTCACTAACGAGACACCTGAGCATGGACGGACGGCTTGGTCTCACCTCAGCAGTACTAGCCCTGTGATCTGAATCCGCACACCCATTTACCTTTCACCGGAAGTTTTCTAGTGAGAAAAATTAGATTTTGAAAATGAAGAAAAAGGACTATACTAAAACTTTTTCCAAGCATGCTCCTATAATCCCAGCACTCAGGAGGCTGGGGCAGGAGGACTGACCTGAGGTTCAAGGCCAGCCTGAGCTACACAGTGAGACCCTGCCTCAGAGGAAAAAACAAAAACGAAACACATACAGAACAAAACAAAACTTCCCATAACCCACACAATCTCTAGTTCAACTCTAAGGGTTTGAAATTTCAATAAAAAATTCAACAAGCACTAGGAAGAATGAAAAAGCTGGCAGTAAAATGTAAAACCTGTGCATACGAAGTGATAAAGGGACCGACAAAAAGCAATCCCATGTGTGAAACCACACAGGGTTGGGGTGTAGCTCAGAAGTAGAGCTTATCTAACTAACATGCCCAGGGCCCTGGGTTCTATCCCCAGTGCCTCAAAAAAAAAAAAAAAAAAGC